CCTCCCAACTGCTAAACAGAGCTCTACTAAAAAACCATATCATCTTATCAGAAACATTTGGGTCTTCTAAATTCAGAAATGCTTCACTGTTGGGATGGAAATATGATGCACATACTAAATATAGCTTCCCTGGCAGTTTTGGACAGCACCCCGTGACAATGCTGATAAACCCAAGAAGGGTTGAGAAATTCTTCCCTTGAGATGCCTGGCTGCAGATCTGGAAGAGTAACCAGGTAAAACTAGAAAGAACTTTTTAGGCAAAGTGCAAGTCTTACAAATTTTTGAAAGTTAGTGAGTCAGGGAGGGAAAAAAAAGGCAGTAAGAGCTAAAAACAAAAAGTGAGTATGATAATGTAGAAAGGTCTTAATATACCTTTCTCTCTCTCTCTCTCTCTCTCTCTCTCTCTCTCTCTCTCTCTCTGTGTGTGTGTGCACTGGGAATTGAACCCAGGGCCTCATATATGCTAAGCTTGTGCCATACCACTGAGCTACACTTTTAGCCCTGTTACTTTTCCAGGACACTGATTTTATCCAGCGTACTATATAATAATTATGGAAGGGATTTAATGAGAGAAAAATGACAATGTATATTGCATTTTAGAATACTTATACTGGTACTAATGTGAAGAATGGATTGGGCTTCCCTTATGCTATTGTCATTAATTTCACAAGGGTGAATGATAATTACATTCCCTATTTTGTAGATGACGAAATTCACACTAAGAAACTGAGCAGCTTCTTTTTTTTTTTTTTTCTGAGAAGTGACTCAAAGCCCATTTATTTTTTTTTCCCATAATTTTATTGAGCAACAAATATGAGCAGCTTCTTAAAGGTCACACAAATATTAAAAGTAGGAGACAGGCCAGGCATGGTGGCACATACCTCTAATCCCAGCACTTGAGAGGCTGAGACAGGAAGATCGCTGAGAGTTTGAGACCAGCCTGGACGACAAAGTGAGCTCAAGGCCAGCCTGAATACAGAGCAAGACCCTGTCTCAAAAAGACAAAACAAAAAAACAGTAGAAGGCAGGCACAATTCTGTTTTAACATCTTGGTGGCAAGATAGAAATTAAAGGCTGGCCAGATAGCTCAGAGGACTAAAGCACCTGCTTAGGCAGAGCTCAGCAGCCGGGTTTGATCCTGACCCTCCCCGTGGGTGCACTAAGACAGGCATGGTGGCTCACACCTGTATTCCCAGTGCTTGGGAGGCTGAGAACAGGACAATCACTATGAGTCTGATCTGTGCAGTAAGACCTTGTAGACCCTGCACTAAATACATTTAAAAAGAAACAACTTAAGATAGAAATTAAAAGCATGTATTAATAATTGTTTTAAAGAAGCTTAATGGAAAATACAGAATCAATTCCTCAGACCCCAAAGCAGTATTCAAGACCATGAGCAGCAGCTGTGGTGACCCACCCTTGTAATTCCAGCACTCAGGAGGCTGAGGCAAGGGGATTCAAGTGAGTTCAAGGCCAGCCTGAACTACAGTCATATCCTGTTTCAAAAAACCAAAAAAAACCCCAAAACATAAAGACCCTGTTCTGGGAATGAGGAGACCAAGGATTTTACACCAGCTCTAAGGTTAACTCCAGGGCCTTGAAGAGTTAGACTGGACTACTCCACAAAAACTCACACGCACGCACGCACGCACGCACACACACACACATAGCCTCCCCACCCTCAAAAAAAAAAGTATACACACTTGAGGAAAAGAAAAATTTGTTTGTTTGGAGACAGGGCCTCACCAGGTAGTCCAGAGTGGCCTCCAAATTTGGCTGATCCTCCTGCCTCAGCCTCCCAAGTGCTGGGATTACAGGCATGTGCCACCATGCCTGGCTAAAATCTTGTAATACTAAACTTACTGACATCATGAGATCAGTACAATTATCTCTGATCTCTATATTTTCAAAGTACTGGCCATTAGCTCCCAGACATTTATTAGTATGATAAACTGCTGCTTGCGTAACCTATGTGGCTTTGATGAAACATCTACACAAGTCCTAACAGATGCTTACAGAATTTACTATGATGCATGTGACCTTCAACACTGTCTATGAGGTCAATGAAAATGCACAGCAGTTGACTGTATGCAATGTCAAAAAAATTAACAGGGTTTCAAAATGACTGTTCTATATGTTACTCCTCAAAGACAATAGAACTGAAAGAAATACACTCTTAGACTGGTCAGGGTAATCCCAGCACTTGAAAAGCTGAAAACAGGAGAATCACTACGAGTCCGATCATTATAGTGAAACCCTATAGACCCTGTACTAAATACATTAAAAAAAAATACATTCTTGTGGCTGGGGAGATGACTCAGTAGAATAAGCGCTTGCCTGGCAAGTGCAAGGGCCTGGGTTCAATCCCTGGTTCCGTCCCCCCCCCCCAAAAAAAAATACATTCTTCTTAGTCGAAATGATCAAAATACTACTCCCTTTATATATGTGACCAAGAGATTACCAACAGAGATAAACATAACTGATATACCCAACATGTCATGACATTTAATGAGAACTGCTTTTGTGAGCACCCACCAAGTGTCACAGTAAAGCCCACAATTTGCACAAATGGCACAGAAGATGATCCTCCTGAAACAGCACTGTTCCAAAATACCCAATTTCTTATTCTAAACAGAAAAGATAGCTGTCTTAACTATCTTAATCCTTATTAATTTTACAACTAGCTTCATGTAGCCAGTGACTATAACTACAGCCCAAATCTGTAGAGGCAGACAACTTAATGGAAGTGATTAAGAATAGTTAACTAGGGCAGGGGACATAGCTCGGAGGTCTAAGTGCCTGCCTCAAGCGCAAGGACCCGGATTTGATCCCTAGTACCGCATGCCATGCCAGCCCTACACCATGGGGATGCCAAGGGGAATGGTGGTGCACACCTGTAACTGTAACTGCAGTGCTGGAGAGGCTGAGAAGGAAAATCACTATGAGTCCAAACTGTGAAGCGAGACCCTGCACCAAATAAATACTTACATACATACATACATTCATAAGATTTTTTTTAAAAAAATAGTTAACCAAGTAATAAGAAACTACAATAAGGACCTAAGGAATTCAGATTTTATTCTAGGTAATTATTTTACAATTTTATTTCTCTTTTCATTTACAGCACACACACTAGCTTGGAAACAACTAAATCTGTATTAAAAAAAAATTGCTTACCACTCTTCAAGGGCTTCCAAATGCCCTTTAATAACTGTCTAGCCCCCCCACACACACACACGCCCACCCAAGTCAGATTCAAAGCTAAAAAGCTCTCGGCCACATGGGCATGCTGGCTTACCCAAGTAATCCTAGCTACTTGGGAGGATGAGGCAGAAAAATTACCAAGTCCAGACTATTCTGAGTGATTATAAAATACATTTTTTGGGGAGAGGGAGAGGGAAGGGGAGAGGAAGGAGGAGGGGGAGGGGAGGAAGTAGAGGGGGAGGGAGGAGGGCGGAGGGAGAGGCAGGGGAGGGGGAGAGGAGGGGGGAGGGGAGGGAGAGGAAAGGGAGAGGGAGACAGAGAGGAAGAGGGTGAGGGTGGGTGGCAAGCATTTTTCCCTTTAGTGATATAAAAGTCATGTTTCTTACTACTGATAGCATCTTAGGTTACATAAAGTATACATATTGAAATATTTAAAATTCTTCAACACCTTCTAATTATTTGTATCACAGTACCATTACAATTTAAATCTAGAATGAAAACTACAGTTATATATTTTGTCACTTTGGGAAACCTATGCTTAATCTCAAACTGTAACTGGAAAAAACTTTTATTTTTAAATTTAGCAAAATGTCTGGGTTAAGTGAGGAAATAACAGGAAGGAAAAACAAAAAATTGAAGATGATCAATTAATAGCCACTTCAAAAGAAGCCCTCAGAACTTCATTTATTAAAAAGTATCAGGAATAAGGGATGGGCTGGACAAATAGCTCAGCAGATTAAAGCGCCTGCTTAAGCAGACACAGGGGTCGGAGGTCTGCTGAGAGGGCAATTGAGACTGGGTGTGGTAGCGCACACCTGTAATCCCAGCTCTTGGGAGGCTGTAAACAAGTGGATCACTATGATCCAATCTAGTAGTGAGACCCTGAAGAACAAGTAGACCCTTCCCTAAAATACAAAAAAAAAAGGAATAAGGAATAAAACATTTTTTAGGAGAAAAATTACTGTTTTATTATTTCTCCCTCCTTAAGAAGTCAATATCACCTTTTAAAAAATGATATAGGTAGATGGATAGTTTTAATTAAATACAGAAAAATAAACATTCTTAATAAATTAAAAACCAGCCAGTCCTAGCCCAGGCCCGGTCTTCCTTTATCTTGATCTTAACCATCCAGCAGAAAAGTATAAAAATGAGGTATAAAAAGTAAAGCCACGGGGGGCCTGGCCCTAGCTCAGTCCTTTAAGTGGCTGCTTCCACAAAGCT